AGCTCTACAGATTTGTGCTGAATATTTGGCTCCAAGGAGCAACCTGATATCTCTAATAATCAAGGGGAGGCAAACAGTGGGGAAACGGCTCACCATCTCTCTTGTCTGAGCAGGACCACCAGAACAGTTCAATTTCTGGGCTCAGAGTGTGCAAAGACATACGAATAAAGAGAATGCTAACCACAGTAAAGCAAACATCGATCAAGGTCTGTGGTTATGCTGATTCCTCCTGCATATCTGTCATGTTTTAGTACATGAAATTCAAGACTTGAACAATCCTGTTTTACCCCGGTGGTATTAGCTTTTCATTGAAGACACCCAAATTTTCAAAGAGTACAAATACTCTGGAGTTCAAATTTTGGCAGTCCGTGAAAAACAACAGAGTGATTGCACACGCAGGAAAATCAAAAGCCTCGGCAGAGAGTGATGCTGCAGAGAACCGAGTTCATATGGTCTCAGACTTTGCTTATCCTGTGTGCACGCAGAAGAGAGGAACACAAGTGCTATATGTGTGATGGTCTGTTTTACACTAAAGGTCAAATATTTGAACTAAACGTAACCACAGCATCTGGTTTAGGTCAACCTTGCAGTTTGTGGTTTATGGGAGGACGGGTACTGAATGGGTGCAGAGGGTCAGCATTCTGCTCCAGGAAACACTGAACTCAACAGCTACATCCAGCCCAACACCAGAATCGTTTTCACCACAGCTCATTTTTAGAAGTGTCACTGGGAAATATACACACTTTGAATATTATGCAATGCCCGAGATCATATGACGAAGGGTGGGTGAGTGTTCTATATAGTCGTTTAAGAGCTGTACCACAAAACTGGGAGAAGAGGCGTGCTGCTGCTCTATTAGCGCTTCCCATAGCCCACTAAAAGCTGGTTGTAAAGACGCTTTGCTGTGTCGAACTAGAGCTCTGGCAATGTGCGTGCACGTGCTCTCACACGCAAGCACACAGCTGGATTTCACATCAGCCTCCACCGTCATTACCCAAACTGTGAAAAACAAACCCCAGACGCTACGTGTGTGTGTGTGTGTCTGACAAGTGTGAGAGAGCGGGCCCTCTTATTAGCCTAAAACACCAGCCCCACATATACATCTGTCCTAAAAATAAAAGGACGCTAAAACAAAAAGAGCTTTAAATAATATTTCGGAAAAACACCCCAAAAAGACAAAACATGAAATACAATTTTAGATGAAAAGAGAAGCACTCAAATTGCTTTTTACAACCACTTTTG